TTCGCTTGTCCGTCGGCTGCACTGGTCGCCTCAGGCCCGCCCGCCGCCGTTCGGTCGCTCGGCCCCCCGGCTGGCCCAATGCATTGGTTTTGTTTGCTTTTGTTTGTTTTCGCTTGTCCGTCGGCTGCACTGGTCGCCCTGCGCGCGCCCGCCGCATTTCGGTCGCTCTGCCCCTCGGCTGGCCCCATTCCCTGGCTTTCTCTGTTTCTGTGTGTTTTCGCTTGTCCGTCGGCTGCACTGGTCGCCCCAAGCTCGCCCGCCGCCCCGCGGTCGCTCGGCCCCCCGGCTGGCCAACTGCACTGGTTTTGTTTGTTTTTGTTTGTTTTCGCTTGTCCGTCGGCTGCACTGGTCGCCCCAGGTCCGCCCGCCGCCTTTCGGTCGCTCGGCCCCTCGGCTGGTTGAATTCACTGGTTTTGTGTGTGTTTTGTTTGTTTTCGCTTGTCCGTCGGCTGCGCTGGTCGCCCTGCGCACGCCCGCCGCCTTTCGGTCGCTCGGCCCCCCGGCTGGCCCCATTCCCTGGCTTTCTTTGTTTCTGTTTGTTTTCGCTTGTCCGTCGGCTGCACTGGTCGCCTCAGGCTCGCCCGCCGCCCCGCGGTCGCTCGGCCCCTCGGCTGGCCCAATTCATCGGTTTTGTTTGTTTTTGTTTTCGCTTGCCCGTCGGCTGCGCTGGTCGCTCCAGGCCCGCCCGCCGCCGTTCGGTCGCTCGGCCCCTCGGCTGGCCAAATTCACTGGTTTTGTTTGTTTTTCTTGTCCGTCGGCTGCACTGGTCGCCCTGCGCACGCCCGCCGCCTTTCGATCGCTCGGCCCCACGGCTGGCCCCATTCCCTGTCTTTCTTTGTTTCTGTTTGTTTTCGCTTGTCCGTCGGCTGCACTGGTCGCCTCAGGCTCGCCCGCCGCCTTTCGGTCGCTCGGCCCCTCGGCTGGCCAAATGCATTGGTTTTGTTTGTTTTTGTTTGTTTTCGGTTGTCCATCGGCTGCACTGGTCGCCCCGGGCCCGCCCGCCGCCGTTCGGTCGCTCGGCCCCTCGGCTGGCCCAATTCATTGGTTTTGTTTGTTTTTGTTTGTTTTCGCTTGTCCGTCGGCTGCACTGGTCGCCCCAGGCCCGCCCGCCGCCGTTCGGTCGCTCGGCCCCTCGGCTGGCCAAATGCATCGGTTTTGTTTGTTTTTGTTTGTTTTCGCTTGTCCGTCGGCTGCACTGGTCGCCCTGCGCACGCCCGCCGCCTTTCGGTCGCTCGGAGCCCTCGGCTGGCCCCATTCCCTACAAGCGAAACAAACAGAAACAAAGAAAGCCAGGGAATGGGGCCAGCCGAGGGGCCGGGCGACCGAAAGGCGGCGGGCGAGCCTGGGGCGACCAGTGCAGCCGACGGACAAGCGAAAACAAACAAAAACAAACAAACCCAATGAATTTGGCGATCCGAGGGGCCGAGCGACCGGAAAGCGGCGGGAGAGGCTGGGGCGACCAGTGCAGCCGACGGACAAGCGAAAACAAACAAAACAAAGAAAACAATTGAATTCGGCCAGCCGAGGGGCAGAGCGACCGAAACGCGGCGGGCGAGCCTGGGGCCACAAGTACAACCGACGGACAAACGAAAACAAACCAAAACAAACAACACCACGGAAATGAGCCAGCCGAGGGGCCGAGCGACCGAAAAGCCGCGGGCGAGCCTGGAGCGACCAGCGCAGCCGACGGACAAGCGAAAACAAACAAAAACAAACAAAACTAAGCATTTGGCCAGCCGAGGGGCAGGGCAGCGCGACCGAAAGGCGGCGGGCGAGCCTGAGGCGACCAGTGCAGCCGACGGACAAGCGAAAACAAACAGAAACCAAACGAAACCAAGGACTGGGGCCAGCCGGGGTGCCGAGCGACCGAAAGGCGGCGGGCGTGCGCAGGGCGACCAGTGCAGCCGACGGACAAGCGAAAACCAACAAAAACAAAGAAAACCAGCGAATCTGGCCAGCCGAGGGGCCGAGCGACCGCGGGGCGGCGGGCGAGCCTGGGGCGACCATTGCAGCCGACGGACAGGCGAAAACAAACAAAAACAAACAAACCCAACGAATTGCGCCAGCCGAGGGGCCGAACGACCGCGGGGCGGCGGGCGAGCCTGGGGCGACCAGTGCAGCTGACGGACAAGCGAAAACAAACAAAAACAAACCAAACCAAATAATGGGGCCAGCCGAGAGGCCGAGCGACCGCGGGGCGGCGGGCGAGCCTGGAGCGACCAGCGCAGCCGACGGACAAGCGAAAACAAACAACAACAAACAAAACCATGAATGGGGCCCGCCGAGGGGCCGAGCGACCGCGGGGCGGCGGGCGAGCCTGGGGCGACCAGTGCAGCCGACGGACAAGCGAAAACAAACGAAACGAACAAACACACAGAAATCGACCAGCCGAGAGGCCGAGCGACCGCAGGGCGGCGGGCGAGCCTGAGGCGACCAGTGCAGCCGACGGACAAACCAAAACAAACAAAAACAAACAAAACCAAAGAATTGGGCCAGCCGAGGGGTCGAGCGACCGAAAGGCGGCGGGCGAGCCTGTGGCGACCAGTGCAGCCGACGGACAAACGAAAACAATCAACCACAAACAAAACAAAGGAATGAGGCCAGCCGAAAGGCAGAGCGACCGCTGTGCGGCGGGCGAGCCCGGGGCGACCATTGCAGCCGACGGGCAAGCGAAAACAAGCAAAAAACAAACAAAACCAAGGAATGGGGCCAGCCGAGGGGGCGAGCGACCGAAAGGCGGCGGGCGAGCCTGGGGCGACCAGTGCAGCCGACGGACAAGCGAACACAAACAGAAACAAACAAAACCAAGGAATGGGGCCAGCCGAAGGGCCGAGCGACCGCGGGGCGGCGGGCGAGCCTGAGGCGACCAGTGCAGCCGACGGACAAGCGAAAACAAGCAAAAGCAAACAAAACAAAAAAATGAGCCAGCCGAGGGGCCGAGCGACCGAGACGCGGCGGGCGAACCTGTGGCAACCAGTACAGCCGAAGGACAAGCGAAAACAAACAAAAACAAACAAAACCAGTGCATGGGGCCAGCCGAGGGGCCGAGCGACCGCGGGGCGGCGGGCGAGCCTGGGGCGACCAGTGCAGCCGACGGAGAAGCGAAAAAAAACAAAAACAAACAAAATCAAGGAATGGGGCCAGCCGAGGGGCCGAGTGACCGCGGGGCGGCGGGCGAGCCTGAGGCGACCAGTGCAGCCGACGGACAAGCGAAAACAAACAGAAACAAACAAAACCAAGGAATGGGGCAAACTGAGGGGGCGAGTGACCGCGGGGAGGTGGGCGAGCCCGGGGCGACCAGTGCAGCCGACGGACAAGCGAAAAAAAACAAAACAAAAAAAAACAAAACCATTGCATGGGGCAAGCCGAGGGGCCGAGCGACCGCGGGGAGGTGGGCGAGCCTGGGGCGACCAGTGCAGCCGACGGGCAAGCGAAAACAAACAAAAACAAACAAAACCAAATAGTGGGGCCAGGCCGAGCGACCGCGGGGCGGCGGGCGACACTGGGGCGACCAGTGCAGCCGACGGACAAGCGAAAACAAACAAAACAATCAAAACCAAGGAATGGGGCCAGCCGAGGGGCCGAGCGACCAGCGTCGCCCAGGGAAGTGACAACCAAACCCTAGAAGTAGATTAGGTTTGCGCCTGCCCCCAAAAAAAACAAAAAATATAGATTCTTGAAATAGGAAGGCGCTTAAAGTAGATTGGGATCTGGGAATCCAAAAATACCTACTTTCAACGACCGGTGGGTAAGTGTATTACGTCGGCAATCACGCTGCAAATGTGTATGGTTCAGCCGTGATGAGTTCGTACAGAATTAGCAGGTGTGGTCACGTGTTGTGTGATATGTAAGACACATGTGCTCGCTGCGTATGGTTTTGCATACGCAGACTATCTTCCTCTGTATGTAACGTGTTTGAGCATGCTGGGAATCTATGTGTTGGGCGGCTGACATGTGTAGCTCAATGCTATGTACCATTCGCTTGGCCAAGCTCTGGCCCGGCTGTCGGCCACAGAGGCGCTTCCAAAGGGACAGGGGGCGGCGGTGATTCGCCGTAGGCGCCTTCGATACTGACCAGGCTCACCAGACCAGACACACCAGGCGACCTGATGGGTCCGGATCTTCTCTGAAAGCGTGGAGGCAGACCGGGAGGCCCAGACCAAGTCCAGACCCACAGGGGTGGCGGGTGGCTCGGGCCGGGTCTGCTGTGCAGTCGTGGACGGACGCTCGTGGATTCTCACGAGCGGCGAAGACGTCCTTCTCCGCGCCCTCGCAGTCTGGATTCGGGGGCGCGATCCCGCGGATACGCGGTCGCACGGGTACGTTCCGCGCGGGGCATTCGCATCCGCGAGCAAAAACGCCCAATATTCGCGGGGTCGAGACCCGAGGGCCCGACCCGCAATGATCATTCCATCCGCGGCACCCGCCGCACAGCAATGACGACGACGACTACGAGTACGAGCGCGACGACGGAGGAGGAGGAGGAGGAGGAGGAGGAGGAGGAGGAAGAGGAGCAAGAGGAGGAGGAGGGGCGGAGTTCATTCCCCGCCGAAAGAATCAGGGGGGGAAGGATCAACACTGAAGACCCCTCTAGGTTAAGCGCCAGACGCCGGGCACCTTGGGGAGGCCTCGGGAGCAGCTGCGCCAAACCTCCCGAGCTGTGGCCTGCTGCTCCTCTGACCAACCTCCCGAGCACGGGGAGCCAGGGAGCGAGGGGCAACGACAGCGGGCGAGGGGGGAGAAGGAGGAGGACGACAAAAGAGGGCGGAGGGCAACGGTCGGGGGGGGCCCAGCTCGGGGGGCACAGATCGAGCTGGGCTCGGCGATACATCGCCGACAGGTCGGCGACAGGTCCCCGGCAGCGAATCCGCACTCTCCTGGGCGGGTCGGGCTATCGAGCCCCGATCGACGATGAATGGGCGATTGGGGGTCGATGCGTTCTCCCCCTGAGGTCATCCCCCCTGTCGCTGCCCCTGAGGAGGGCGAGGGGGAGCAGGATCCTCCAGCCGTAGGAGCTCTTGTAGTGAATGAGCACCTCCGACTCCGGGTTGCCGGCCAGCCTGAGTCAGGCGCACGCTAACATGAATTAGCAACGTGGGCGTTTCCTTATTCGACGTTTCGACACTGGGCGGCAGGAGGAGGGGAGGGGGGGGATCTGGCTCACGCTCAATGCTACTGTTTACAGCAGTGCTTCCTGTGGGGGAGATTCCACCTGCTCGAAACAGGCGCCCAAATCAGCCAAGATCTACTCCAGGGGGTGGGGGGGGAGTGCGAAGGCCCGCGCTGATCGGCAAAACGACAACGATTACAATCCGTGGATCTGGAGCGTGGGCGCCAGATCCACGGACCGGGGATGTGCAGGTCCAAAATGATCTGAAACGTGAGGCCAGTGCCGCCTCATTTGGCGACGGAGCGCGCCGATGTCGCACGGAAACGGCACCCGTAGCTAATCCACGCTGCCTGAAAGCATGTTTCGTTTCCTCGACTGGGGCCCCAGCTGGAGCTCGGAAGCCATCGGGCGCCCGGCCCGTGCAATCTATCGGCCAGCGGATCTTTAAGGCCTCTTGGTCCGCTTTGGAGCGTCGGAAAATTCGTGAAGGCGAGAACGCGAAAATCCTCCATCACCTTCGAACAAATCAATGAGTTTGGCTCTTTTGGGGAGCCTCCTGGAGGCCTCGTGGACGCCTCTAGGAGGCAACTTCGGGCCTCTTGGGGGGGTTTATTGGGGGACTCTCGGGGCTGCCAGGGGACCTCTCTGGGCACCCTAGCCTAGGCTCGCAGAGCGCGCGGGCAAGCCTGCATCATTCCCCGCTGGGGGAACTCTGGGGAGCGGCAAACTTGCCATAACACCGGGGGGGATGGGTGGCGTGGGGCGGGCGGCCAAAGGGGGGGGGGGGGGGGCAGGAGGAGGAAGGGAGGGAGGGAGCAAGGGAGGGAAGGAGGGAAGGAGGGAGGGACGAGGAGAAGGAGGAGGAGGAGGAGGAGGAGGAGGAGGAGTAGGCGAAGGAGGAGGAGAAGGAGGAGGAGGAGGAGGAGGAGGAGGAGGAGAGAGAGAGGAGCTCATCTTCGCGCAATACGCCGTGCGATGCGCGCCGCGCGCTTGTTCTCGCGCCTTCTCGCCGCCGCCCCAGTGCATCTGGAGGTCGGAAAGAGGTGTGGCACCAAGGGGTGTGGTGGTGCCAATCGTGGAAGCGGAGATGCCATCTACGATAGATGGCATCGCCAGACTCAACGTTGCCACCAGACCCCTTTATGCCACACCCCTCTTCCGACCTCCAGAGTCCAGAGAAGGGCACATATGCTGCCCAGGGCGCGCGGCGCGAAGCGCAGTCCTCTTCGCGCCCCCGCGGGCGACCCAGAGCATCACCCCACCCCACCCGCGCAGCCCGGGAACGGCCCGGATCGAGCGCGGCGAGCGAAAGCCCCGCTCGCTCGCGAGGCGAGCCCCGGAGATGGCTGGAAACCCGCCCATCCATCGCGCAGCGCACGCCGCGAAGCGGACCCGCGCGAGGCCGACCTGGGCGTGGCGGGCGAGAGGTCCGGCCGATCGCACAGCGAACCCCAGGCCTGTAGGTGGGGCGGCCGTAGCTGGTCATGTCCCGGTCGAGCTCGTAGGTGCCGTTGAGCTCTGGGAACACCTCGCAAAGGAGAACGACGACGGTCACGAAGAGGAGGAGGAGGAGGAGGAGGAGGAGAAGAAGGAGGAAGATGAGGAGGAGGAGGCTGAAATGGGGGAGAGGGAGAAGGAGGAGGAGGAGTCAGGAGGAGGAGGAGGGGGAGGAAAAGGAGGAGGAGAAGGAGGGGAAGGAGGAGGAGGAGGAGGAGGAGGAGGAAGAGCGCACGTAGCTGGGAAGACAGTGCAACAGCCACTGCACAGCACTAGCCTCGCAGAGCGGCTAATGCAGCAGATCGTGTCTGGTGATGGTATGAAGGCGTGGCAGCCTGCGGCCGCCGCGCAAGGTCCGCTTTCAGTTGATGGTAAATGTGAAAGCTTAGGACTACGTTTTGGTGACATCGTGAACGTGGATATTCGATCTCGCGATCGGGGTTGGGGCCGAGCCCCAGACGAGTGAGAGGACAAGAAGGGAGGACTCCACGAGGAAGGGCGAGGAGGTGGAGGAGGCGGGGGCACTGTAGATAATGGGCGAACGAATCGGGGGCACGGCACCCGAAGAGACATGAAGCCTCGGGCACACTCGGAACGCGGGCCGAAGTCGTCCAAGATCCGGCCAACGTCTTCAGGTGGGCCCATGCCCACGAAGGGGGGGATCGGGCAAGAATCGCCCTTGAACCACCCCACCGAGCATCAAGATCAGCAGGCAGCAGCGGCTGGAGGTCGGGGAGCCACGAGGAGATACGACGACGCAGCAAGGTGGGGAGGGAATCGGGGAAGAGCGAAGCCTCGAGGGAGGAGAGGATTCGCTGCGGTCGCGGGCAGCGCTCCTCGGTGGCGGCCGCCGTCAACTCCGCCCTCGCCGCCGCTGCCGCTGGGGCCCAGGCCTCGGGCCTGATGCCAGGTGGCCCTGAGCGGAGTACCATCTCCAGGAACTCGGCGATCGAGCTCCCGCGAAACGCGGGAAGGAGGAGGAAGAGGAGGAGGAGGAGGCGGAGGAGGAACACAGGAATGAGGAGATAGACGCGGATGACACTGAAGAGGAAGAGGAGGAGGAGGAGGAGGAGGAGGAGGAGGAGGAGGAGGAGGGGGAAAAGGAGGAGGAGGAGGAGGGGGAAAAGGAGGAGGAGGAACAGGAGGAGGAGGAGGAAGCGGAGGACGAAGAGGAGGAGAAGTATAATGATAAGACGACGACGATAACAAACATAATGATGACCACAGCGAGGAGCAAACGGAAAAGCAAGGCGAGGGAGAGGATGAGAAGACGGCGGCGAGGGCCTTGCAGAGGCTGATCACCAGTTTGGGCGCGGGCTCCCGCCTGTCAGCGCCGCCCCTGCCGCCCTCGGCCTCCTCGTCGTCGCTGGCGTTGTCGTCCTTCGGCCGGCGGGCAAGACAAAAACCCTCGCGCCGTGAAAAGATGACGACGCAAGATTTTCTGACCGTTTCCGACTCTGGTCCATCTCAAACAATTTCGTCGGTTCCTGGAGTGCGTTCCCGGAGAGCCCAGATCGTCCCGTACAGCCGCCAGAGACCCGAGTTCCGGACCGAAAACCAGGAGTGCTCGCGTAGTGAAACAATCAAGACGGTGGGGAATTTTTGGATTTCTGCTGCCTCTTCAGCCCGCACCGGGCACCAGGGCCGTCAACAAACGGCTCGGATGCCCGTTGGGGCTACCCACTGCCTCCCCCGCCCGCGCCGACGAAGAAGACGGGGTCGGGAGGTCGGGAGGGGGGGGGGAGGGGAGAGGAAAATAGGGAAATCCCTTCACATTGCTGGCCTCACTCGCACTGCTCACAGCCGCCGTACTGCTCACACCCGCGCAGCTCGCAACGCTGCGTCCCTAAGATTTGGACGTCAGAGTCGCGCTGCCCACAGACGTGCCGCACGCCACACTGCACGCCCAACACCTGGATGCCAGATTCGTGCTGCTGCTCCCCACTTTGCTGCAGAACGTAGTGCTGCTGGTCGCCATCGTGCTGCTCACAGCCGCGCTGCTCGCAACACTGCTCGTCCCAAACCTGGGCGTCGCAGCCGCGCTGCAGCTCCCGACTGCGCCACCGGGTGTCGCGCGGCACGTCGCCGTCGCGATGCCCACAGACGTGCTGCTCGACCCGCTGCACGTCCACCTCATGGAAGTCAGAGCCGCGCTGCTCGCCACTCTGCCCGCCCCCCTCCTGGTGCCAGAGTCGGGCAGGGTGGCGTGCAGCACATCTGCGAGCAGGGTGGCGTACAGCACGTCCGTGAGAAGTACGGCCACGTCAAGCAGCACGGCCTAAAACTGTTCCGAAAGTGGTCTAAAAGCGGCTTAAAAGTAGTTCAATAATGGTCGAACGTAGTCCAACAATGGTCAAAACTGGGCTAACACTGGTCTCGGAATTCTCTTCGCATGGCCCCGGCGTTGCATCGCATTCTGGGCTGCGCCATGCGCGCTCGGGCACGCGCGGCACTGGGGGGGGAGACGCGCAGGATAAGCAAGAGGAATACAATTATGACTCCGGCTCTCCCGAGGAGGGGGCAGGAGCAGACTGGCGCGGCCCTGGCAGCAGTTCAGCAGCGGAGGCCGCTGCAAAATCAGCAGGCTGACGAGACATAGGGGAAGGAGGAGCAGGGAGGAGAAGCAGTTACCTGAGCCCCGCCCAGAGGTAACGCGGCGCGCAGGTGCAATTTCTCCCGCGCCCCCGCGCGCGCAGAGAACAATCGCGCCGGCGCCCAAGATGCCCCGGGGCGCGGCGCCATCGAAACCAAGACAACGCTGCCCCAGCCACCTGGGCCATGCAAGTGCGAAAACATAACCCTGGGAACCCAAATCTTAAGATCGCCAGGTGGCCAAGGCAGCAAACACGGGAGTGCAATTTGTTCCGAACGGAGAAACATAAACTGAGTCGGGCCTCGAAACAGAATTTCTACAATCCCGACATGGTCCCGCATCATCAGAATCGCTTCCGCAATGAGCCCTATTCCGTGAACTCCGACGGTGCGTTCCGTTCTGACCACGAAGTCAGCCCTGAGTCTCATCTCATGCGTTCCCCTGGTCTCGGCGGCCATTTCTGCATCGCGACTTCAAGCGGCCCCCGTCTCGACTACTCGGGTAGCGCCCTCAGTTTCCTTAATTCGGGAGGCCGGCGCATCGCTCTCGACATCCATATGGCGACGCTCTGCGCTCAAGTGGGCTTTCATCTCGTGTGCTTCTGCGTTCTACGCCCGATCTTCAGCAACTTTGAATTCAGCCCTCACCTGGCTCTTTTTCGTCTGGCGGATCCGTCCATAAAGTCGCTCTTGTACGTGAGCCACGGCGGTGGCTGGCCCCTGCAGTTGAACAGCTTCCCACACGGTTGATCTCATGGCGTATCAGTTGTCCTGTTCGCTGAATGCACTCGCCACAGAAGAAATTGATGTCGCGCTGTTTGCTATTCACCCAACATTCTCTACACGCTGGCTGGTTACAATTACCCGATCTTCCAGGGTAGCGCCTTTCAGCGTAGTCGGGGCAGCGAGCTGTGCGATTCCAGCATCCCTCTCCGACGGACGTTCCGCCCATGGTGGACGCGCCAAACCTGGCAAACGACGCCATCCTCTTGGCCTGCCCCCGCCATGGGAACATGTGTCACTCATCGATTGTCTTCTTTCTCAGAGCTTTGCGCCGAGGTCATACTTATGTGGCCTTACGTGGGTCGAGAGCAAGTCTGATCTCGCGTCGCGTGGGTCTCCCGCCGCCTGGCATCTGCCCCAATTAGCGACGTTGCCAGAACGTGACATGGGACTGCACCGTCACCGGCGTCCTGCCTGGAGGTCCTGCTGGATGGTGGCACAAGACCAGCGGCTAAGCTCTCATGGCCCACGCCCTGCCTGGGGAATCCGCTGGGGACATGCTCTTCACCGTCGACCGTGACGACCTCGGGCCGAGGCGTCTGTGTCGAAACAAACCGAACTATCGTTTCTCCGACAGGGTCTCCAATTTCTGGCTCTTCTTCCCTCATTCTTCTCTAATGGAAGGAGCTCTCTTGAGTTGCCTTCTCTTGCAGCTGTAGTGGCTGGGGGCATCTTGTTCCGTGTTGGGCGAGACCCGCCACACTCTGTAGATCATGGATATGGCGAAAAGAGGTCCAGCAAAGGTTTTTGGTTTGTTTTTGATACTTGATGTTAAGAGGTCCCAGAAAGGTCGAAAACAAGGTAATCCCTTGACGTGTATTGCACTCAGAGGTTTTCACAGACGTGCCACGTACGTAAGAAACTCTTCGGAAGTTGCGGCAACTTGCCGCATGCGCCGCCTCGCGGGCGCCGTGCTGGTTGGCCGATGTCGTGCCGCGTTGCTGCCCGCGCCGCCTCGTGGAAGCCCCTGGGCCCGACAAGTGTCGGTTCCACTGGCTGTTCGAGTTAAGTTGAACGCGCTGTCTGGCAACGCGAAGTTGGATGCACCGTCGGGCTGCGTTCTGCCAAGACATATGGCCCGTCATATTTCGAATATGAAAGCGCGCCAGTTTCGGGTACAATTGCGTTGCATGCGATACCTGCCCGCGCTCGGTTTGATGCCGCGCATGGTTGCGTGACGCGGCCGATGCATATTGCTTGCTAGCGAGCCGCATTGGGTTGGACGAGATGGCTCGCGCAGTCACGCTGCATGCACTGTCTGGTCGCGGTTGGTTGGGCGCGCCGTCTGGCTGCCCCACTGGGGCAAACTTGATTTCATGTCAGGCGGCCGAGGTAGGTCGGACGCGTTGACTCGCGCAATTGGGTTTCAGGCGCTGTCTGGCGAGTTAGCTTGGATGCACCCGCCTGGACGTCATCAGGGGAAACATGAGAATAGTATTCTATTTGGTAATTGTTGGAGGAGGGGGGTCGGAGGCGAGAAGAGGGAAATGGGAGGAGGGAGGACAGGTAACCAAGGGGCAAACGAAAGGAACGACGAGTGAGGACGAGAGAAGCGAGGAGGAAGATGAGGAAGAAGAGAATGGAGATGATGAACATGCCGTTCTAATGATGAGACCTCCTCCTCATCGTCCTCATCATCCTTACCGCCATCCTCCTCCTCCTCATCTACATCCTCATCGCCCTCATCGCCCTCATCATCCTTACCGCCATCCTCCTCCGCCTCCTCCGCATCGTCCTCATCATCCTTTCCGCCATCCTCCTCATCGCCCTCATCGTCCTCATCATCCTTGCCGCCATCCTCCGCCATCCTCCTCATCGTCCTCATCATCCTTACCGCCGTCCTCGTCGTCGCTCGTCGTCGTCGCTCGTCGTCGAAAGTCGTCGTCGGTCGCTCGTGGTCGTCGCTCGTCGTCGTCGGTCGTCGTCAGTCGTCGTCGTCGTCGTCGCTCGTCGTCGTCGATCGTCGTCGGTCGTCGTCAGTCGTCGTCGAGCGCCGTCGTCGGTCGTCGTCGGTCGTCGTCGTCGCCGTTGCCGCCGTCGTCGTCGTCGTCGTCGCACCCGCCGCTGCCGCCGTCGACGCCGTCATCGTCGTCGCCGTCGCCGCCAAGGTCGCCCCCAGGGCTGGGGCCAAAGACGACGAGCGCGAGCACCGCGAGGACGAAGACGACGACGCCGCCGCCGACGACGACGACGACCGACCGACCTCGCGGTACTCGCGCTCGTCGTCTTTGCCCCAGCCCTGGGGGCGATCTTGGCGGCGGCGGCGACGACGATGACGGCGTCGACGGCGGCAGCGGCGGGTGCGACGACGACGACGATCGCCAACTCCGACGACGCCGACGGGAGAGGGGGAACGACGGAAAGACGGCCACGACGATGGTTTAGCCAGTGCCTCCTCGAAGCGGGCGGGCTCGGCCTCCATCGCGCCCAAGCTGGGCGCCTCGCCTCACTTGTACTTCAGGGCCAGCTTGTAGCGAGCCACAATCACGTCGTTCATCTCTTCCGGATCCATCTTCCACCGCTTGAGCTTCTCCGCGATGGCCATGGCCTTCCGCTGCATGGCCACCTTGTCCTTCATGACGCTCGGGGTGCTGAGGAAGCTCATGACCGCATCCGTGGCGCGAATCGCGCGGGTCTTGATCATCGCATCGCTGGTGCTGTCGACGACCTCGGTGTCCGTGTCCAAGCTGTACTTGGCCGTCGTGCTCTTGAACTGCTCGAGCAGGTCACCGATGGCATCAGCCTTCTCCTCGAGCCCCTGGGTGTCGACATCCTTCAGCGTCCTCTCGTAGAGGTCCACGAGTTCATCGATGGTCTTGAGGCCGACCGTCTTCTCCTCCCACTGCTTGAGCGGCATCATCTTATCAATGGCTTCCCCAAGAGACGAAATCGCATCGGTAATCTTCGTCTTGATGACGTCGCGGGCCTGGACGCCGCTCTGGGCGATGACCCCAGCCGAAAACTCCAACAGGAGCGGCACCTTAACCTTGATGATGGGAAACTCGTTGATGAAGGCATTGCAGGCCGCGTACGCTGAGCTGCAGCGCGTCCTCATGCGCACCGCTGCGTCCATGCCCGACTCGATGTGCTGCGTCTTGTCGGTGTCCT